TTTCACCAGCTTGACATCGACCGAGGGCGCATGCGGTGGGGTCACTGGGCACCTTCCTTCCCTCCCCAGTCAAATCAGCCGTCACACGAACATCTCATTTCTAAATGCATCACATCATTCACAACACAAGGTCCGTCCACCACCATCATCTCCTCTTCGCACGTAGCAACGCATCATCTTCCATGAAATTCAACTTTCACGCACGACCTTGCTCGTCCAAAACCTTCCATCTCACTCGCGACGTGGGTGAGGTGATCAGAAACTTCACCGTAACAGCAACAAACACTAATGTAAACGTTACAAATGGGCTTGTTCTGTACAGTGAAAAGTAGAGATATGCGACACCAGTGCCGGCCAGGCAAAGCTTGCAGTACACTAACGTGGGGTAGCTGATGCTTCTCAGAAGATCAAAACTATGCAGACAAGACTCTGGGCTTACAAAAGCATGACATTTACTGGCATAAACTAATGCATGACGTCGGTTTATGGGTAAAGCATGGGCGATGTTTTTTGAATTCTTCTCGTTCGCCTTTGTCTTTAAAATCTAACCTAAAAACAGTTTCCTTCCGACAAGTTCCAGTCTCTGTCTGCTTTGTTGTTGTTGGTACTGCCATAGCCCACGCCTTCAAAGCCTGCCAACCAGCCTCCTTGAGCCATAGCCAAGGCTAGTTTCAGTACCCCACATGTATTCTGAGACTGTGCTTGTTGAATTACAGTACTGGGTTCTAGTTTTTTTATCTCTTTTTGAACAAATTTTCCAAACATGGTATGAAAGTGTGTGCAGACTACATTTTGTTTTGACGAAGCGGGTTCTTTGTAGATTTTTATAACTTGACTTTGAATTTTTGATTGGGATTTTTTTGTTGTGTTTTGTGAGACTGAAAAAGATAATTTTTATGTTGTGAGTTGAAAAACAAAATGGGCTGTGAAACTTTTTGCTGGGATAGTAGGTTGTGGCTTTTGGATTGACTTTGAGATAACAAAGTTAGTGGATGTCAAATTGAATATCAAATATATTTTTTAAAAAAAATGATAAATTTTAATAGGCCATACTAATAATAATTATAAGAAAATTATAAAAATGCAATTTTCAAAACAATATCTTGATTATTTGTATGTAATATTAAGATGTAAAGTTTCATAAGTTTAAAAAAGAATACTTTAAAAATTCAAGAAATATATATATATATTCAATACTTTTTATTTTTATGTTTTATTTTGATTTATAAGATTATTTATTTTTAAATCTTAAATTCTTAACTGTAAACATGCTTTTGACAACTTTTTTTAGTGCAAACTATCCTAAGAAAATAAGAATAACATACTAAATTGTAAACTTTGTATTATTGTGTATCCTTAAGTCATATGCAACATCTTTTAAATATGTCCTTCTTACTAAAATATTCAAGTAAATCTTGATTGAGTAAATTCAATCACATAATTGTAATCTAAACCTCTTACTTGCCATATATATTTTAAAAATCCAATATCTTTATTTAGAAAATATTTAATATTTGTTTTAAATTATAATTATAATTTATATTATACATAAATATATATTTTTAATATACACAATTAGTTATACATTGTATCTATCTATCTATCTATCTATCTATCTATCTATATATATATATATATATATATTTAAAAAGCTCTAATAAAAAAATGTCAATTTTTAATTTTTAAAACAAAAATATCTCAAATATTTTGAACCATATAACTAATTACTAAAGATCTAAATCTAGACTATTGGAAATGTGACTAAATAGTTGTAAGAAGTTTAGAAAGATCTAAGTTTCAAGTATTTTACTACATTATTTACAAAGTAAGTATTATATTAAAGTATATATCACCTGAATAATAAAAAATATTTTTTTGAGGTCTAAGATTCTATTATTTAGATAACTTGATAACTAAATAATTATCATATTTAAATGCTTTAATGTTTCTAATCTTGCTTAATAAAGTAAAGTTTCAAAAAAATCAGGTAAAAGAACTTATGTGATATGATAATTATATAAGATACATAAAGTACAAATAAAGTTTATTTTATTTTATTTTTAAATATAAATTATTAGAAATTTTTTAAATTATTAAAGTCAAATTAATTTTACACTAATATATTTATAAAAATCATATGTATACAATATACTCCTTGTATATATATATATATATATATATATATATATATGTTTAAAAATTTATTAAGAAATTTCAATAATAATGTAACTTTAAAAAATTAATCAAATAAAATAATTTTAAAATCAAAAAATAAAAACTCTAAAAATTCCAAATCTAGAATATTTGAATTCAAAAGAAATTAATAATTTTCTATTTCTATATAATATAATAAATAATAAAATAAAAAAAATTGATTCACTTATAGCTATTTTTTGACTTTGAGTTCTCAAATAATTAATCCTATTTTTAATAAATTTTATTAATTATTCATTGAATAATTTTAAAAAAATTAAAGATCATACCATACAAATAACTAAATAAATTTAATTTAATCTATTCAAATAATATTTTTAGATCTTTTTAAAAGAAAAAAAATAAGGATTTTTATCCAACATATATTTTCATATATTTAATTCAAAATTATAAAATTTAATGCACCTTTTTGTAAAATTAATAAAAATATTGTTGCTGCATTTAAATTAAATTAAATTTTATTGCTTATATTACTTATTTACTTCATATGTTTTTTAATTTGGTCTTTTCGGCAAGGTTCTCTGTTTTTCTTATATACCCTTTTTATACCCTTAGATAGTATTTTTGTAACTTTTTAGACAGTAAAAAAATATATTCTCTATCATTAATATTTATACAAAATTCAATAGCTATTTGATAAAATATACTTATAAAATTACACTTTATGTACTTATTTTATATTTAATATTTGCAACATTAATAATGTATCTATCAAGACCAAATACATTAATATTAACAAGAGAGTCAATATTATCTAGAGCTTACATTCAATCATCTAGTATTCTTACATCATTTTTTTGAACTTATGAGGTGGATTTTTAATTAATAAAAAAATTATATCATCTTTTATTAAATTAATTTTTTTAATATTTTTATTAGAATAAGATAAGATATCTTATGAGCTTTTATAAAACAATATGACTCATAGATGAAAGTCTCTTATAGGTGTTTATTGTGTTCAAAGATTTAGATAATTCTAATATTCTTTAGCTTGTTTTTCTATCTTCTTAGTAATTAGATCTATTAATGAAAAATATAAATGGAGATATTATGTTTTGAAATAAAAGATTGTACTTGATATAGAATAATAACAAAATTAACAATAAACCATAGTAATCATTATCAACATAAGAAATTAAATCCATGACATCTAAAGTTTTTTTGCATTTATTTGTTATAAATTCTAAAGCTTAAATTTAATAATTTATAGCAAATATTTAAAGAAAAAACTTTACTTTGTAAACTTTGTTATTTCAAATATATTACCTTTATTGTTATCAAAAAAATATTTTGATTAAATATTTTAATATATATTTTAATTTCATATAATTTAATATTTTAAATTTTGATATAATGATATTTTTTTGAAGTTATTATAAATAATTCTAATTCTAAGTCTAAAAAAAATATATCTAAATCAAATTTTAAGAAAAGATACTATCTTAAAAGGCTTTTTTAGTAATTTTTTAAATTTATACTTATTCATCATAAATTATATTTTATTATAACATATTGATAATTTTAAAAATAAATTAGTTAGTATTATATTAATTTTTACATTAAGCAAAGAATATATAGTTCTTGTTAGTTTTACAATTCTTTATAGAATGTGTTCAATAGACTTTATTTTTTAGCTAAAAACTCCATCAACTACATTTGTATTGAACATTAGTTAGAATTTTTAGAAAAAATAATATATAAGATCTTAAATTACTATTAAATTATAAAGAAACTAATAATATAATTAATCTTTATAGAATCTGTTTTTAAAAGAAAAATGAATATCATAATTATCTAGTTAGATATAATGATATCAGTAAAGATTACAATTATATCTATGAATCAATTTACTAGGTAATTTTATTACTTTTTAGTTTAATAAGTATTTATTTACAAGTATAAATTATATCCATTTATTATTTTTTATCTATATAATATAATATATTTTTAATATATGATTAAAAATATAATTATATCCACAGACAAATTGTAGTTTAAATAGCTAATTAAAATTAGAAAATAAGATATGTTTATTTTTGATACAACATTCTATATACATTCAATAAAGATTTTGTAAAAAACTTAGCATTTGACGAAAAAATCAATTTTCTTTATAAATATAAAATACACATCTACAAATATAAAAGATATTTACTATTAAAGTAACTAAAGTAACTAAAATTTTAAAAAATAATATCCCTTTAAAAATATTATTATTTTAATCTTTTTAAGTATAAAAATCATGCCTGATTGTTTTTGTTTAAAAGTATATTTTAATTTTTAAAATAAAATAATGATATAATTAAATCAAAAAATTTAAGCATATGTATATATTTTTTTAAATAAAATAGATTCATCACTAATTAATCCGTATTACTATCTAAAATCAAGTTCATAAAGAAGAATACTATCTCTTCAATAATTAAAATTAAGGTTTAAAAATATGAAAAAAATAAATAATTTACTTTAAATTTGGACTTCTCAAAGGAAGATTTTATACTTAGAAGCTCTCTTTGAAAAATCATGATTAGAAAAATATCCTCATTTGGAAGCCTTGGCCTTCAAATTTAATAGGAAGTAAAGAGAGGCTATGATATGAACCAAATTATTCTTTTATTATTAACCTAAGTATATCAAGTTATATCTTGATTTTAAAAACTTAACAAAATTATTTTAAAAATTATTTTAAGCATTTATAAAAAAAATGACTTCTTAATTGTTTTTAAATACTATATCTTGAGATGGACCTAATAGAAATTCTAAAAGATAACACCGTTTATGACATGTCAAAAAAAATGCATTCCACCTTTTTTTCTCTTAAGGTCTTTGGAGTGATTTTTCCAAGTATTAAGACGGCTTAATGACCAATCAAAGAACTCAAGAATTTTGGCCACTCATCTTGTCCCTAAGTTTAAAAAGCTCCTGAAATAGTTCAAGAGATTAGAATTGCTACACAAGAACCAAGTAGCATCAAGAATAACTAAAAGAATGTCTTTAACTACTAAATTACTTCTAAAAAAAAAAAAAAAAAAAAAAAAATTGTTTAATTTTTATTCTAATTTTCTTCAAACATAACATGTTTGTATGTCAAATGACACAAAACATTGATATAAAAAGTTATAACCTGACGTGCTCTACTAGAAACATGCCTTCATTCTCTGAATTCTTCCTCAGCCCCAACCTTCTCTCATAGGCGAAACTGCGGCACTGCAACCACAACCATTGATAGCCAGAATGTCTTTTGCTACATTCCTAACTTTCTGGTGTTAATAGCAATTCCCGGTGTAAACAACGAATCTTGTTTTCCGTGGAGTTTTATAACAATAAGTCTCAAACAGCCCTGGTACCATACACGGTGGTTGAGTTATTTAACTTGTTCTGATGATCACAGGATGTAAAGCACTGGACCTTGTTCCTCTGATAGTACCCGCCTGCAGCATGAAATCATGCTCAACGTTGTGGTGACTACCAGAACTATAGATGCCGTCTTGAGATGATTGTCTAGAATTTGCCGAGCTCTCTCGGGCAGCTTGCTCAGCTTCATCTTCACGCTGGATTTGCTCGTACAATTCCTCCACCATGGGTTTCCACAGCCGAACCCGTGCATTGATGAACCAGTTGGTCACCTACAAGTGGTAAGAAAACTTCTTGTTGTAGTGAAAATCCGCTCCGCAGTTAGGGGATTGAAAAAGACAATAAGAAAAATGGAACTCCAAGGCGTGATTGCTTCCATGGACGGGAATTCGTGATCGAACCTGAGATCTGCTCAAAGAAGTCTGCTCTGCCAACCAGCATTTGTCCCGATGCTGAGGGTACCTGCTCTAGACTCGCCTTTCAGTGCTCATCCTTCTTAGCATTCACTCAATTGTGCATGATATTACGTGTAACCTCTTTCAAAAGCAAGATTCAGACGTAGCGTCTACAAAAATATCAATCACTTTGTGTTTTGGATCGCCTACACTCTGCTGCAGAAAATGAGCTGCTGATCTGTGTCAATTCACGGAGACGATAAGATTACACTACTTACGGCTTAAGGAAGTGTTCAAACAACCAACGGCGTAGAATATCAGTGGCACTGTCCGGAAGTCTTGCATGAAGGTCCGGCCCGCGGTGGTTTGGCTTCAGCAGCTGCCGCTCTGGATGCACCTTACATCTCGCCTGACGGAGCTGGGAGGACAAGTCCATTTCCCTTGTAGCAACCCTTAACTGCCTCGTGATACCATCTTTGCATATCCTGCCACAAACTCCATATAACCACTGGAAAATCTGAGAGAAAATTCTTCACCCTTTCGCACTAAAAGGGTTGCTCTCTGTAATTGGGCAATTACCTGAAGCGGCGAGACATGGCTTGCAGGCCAAGCGCGGTGTAGAGCAGGGACCCTTCTCGTCCTCCGAATTGGTCAAAGTTATTTCTCATTTCCAACACGTTCGCTCGATAAGCCTCGTAATTGCTCTCCACCTGCGAACAATTCAGCACAAACTTGCGGTCATCCAGATGGTTAGGCTAATTGGTACATCTCATGGTGGTGAGATATGACAAGGAGGATTACCGAGCGCAGCAGAACTTCAAGCTTCTCCTTTCTCGATTGACTCTCTGCGAGATCCTCTGCTTCGTCGATGTCGAAGGCTGTTTCCTCTACTCGTTGCGTGTCCAGAGCAGCGGCTGCATTCAGATTAGTCCCAACCAGAGAACCTGGCACCTGTGGGGGCTTGAGACCATGATTCAGGGGCTCAGGATGGCCGTCATGGACTTCGGCGCTTTGCCCTGTGTGGCGGCTGGCTGGAATCTCTCGGGTTTCTGATGCAGGAGTGCTGCCATGTTGACCCGCCGCAGTCCGCCTTCGTTTTTTAGGATGCCCTTGAAAATAGTGAAACCTCAGAAGAGATCGGATTGGTGCTAGAAACTTTGAATTCAGGATCATGCTAGGTTTGGGTTTACCGGTGTTACGGATCAGAGCCGCCGGCTGCACATGAGTGTTGGCTGCGATGGCTATTGGAATGTCACCACATTCTGTATTTCTGAAGTTCAAGTTGGGTGAAGCTTCTCGACCAAGACGATTCGGCCTCCGTTCGTCTGCTGCTCGTTTGAACCGACGATCATCTAAACCAACACACACTCGTTTCGAATTTCTGTCAACGGTGCAGGGGAGAGCATGTTTGTGGCTGCTTGGGCTCGATGTTTGCTGCGCCATAGGCATCGTGGCCAAGCAAGAGACGGCCTTGGAATTTCGAATTGCTGTGATATGTAATACATCCGTCGTCTGATTCTTAAGCCAAGCTGCGTGCGCTTGGTGCACTGCCGAGTAGCTCGTCAATGGAGGTTGATGTGGTGGTAATGAAAGACTTGTTTTTCCGTGAACAAACCCGGGTTGACAGACTTGGGATACTCTTCGAGACAGATAAGATCCTGCCTTCAAAATTTTAACTACCTCAGCGACCGGTTGAGCAGAATCTCCCGTTCCATGTATTTCAGGGACCGAACTTTGCAAATCAACACCGGCGGCCTCAACAAGCTTTGTTCCAGAATCCGCTAGTTGATCGAGTGTACCTAAAAGATCATGGGTCTCAGCGCTGATTTGGGCGATTCTTCGCACGACGCGGCCTTCTGGCGATGCTCCTGCCGACGCTGTGAGCTGTGTCCGCGAGACTTCCATTAGAGAAGAACTTCCTACTGGAGGTGCTCGAGACAGACCTATTTTGTAACGAACATTAATCATACGTGTATCAGTAAACTTCGGCTGGGCGTGTTTGGGGGTTAGAGATATTGGCGGATTGGTGTGAAGCAGGTGGTTGCGACTATTAGCATATCTGAGAAATACTCTGCTGTGGGGCCTTGGACAAGACGACTACCCACGTCATTATGAAATTTGGATGTGGTAAAGTAGCGATTACCTCTCGAAATTATCCCGGTGACGCAACGGCAGGGACAACATGGGATTTCACGCTTCTTGTGCGTATGATGCAGATTCTCCACCTCCCTCGATGACTGCAACGCTGGTGTGCCTGCACATTACACAAAAACACACCACATCCGAATAAACTATGCATCTTCCCCATGACATGAAAAAGGCTTCCAATGGCAGAATTAGGAGCGATCGAGATATGACCACGGTGACTCATTCGAAAGACTCACTCACAGATTGGGCAAAAAGAGCCCAGGCTGCGCCAAGAATGTAAAACCAGTCTAGAAAAGGGAGGGAAGGAGGGGAGGCGTCATTACAAACAAGCCTGGCGGGGCTCAAGCCAACCAACGCCCCATCTGACGCGGTCGCAAACAAGCGCATCTCCACTGCAGCAGCAGGATCACCTCCTCTTCTAGAGTATTCTCGCAGCGGCAATCCCACCTCGTGCATCATCGCTAAGCTCATGCTGACAGACACCACAGCTCCAGGTCTCCCGTCCACTCAACTTCTTCAACTGTACAAAACAAGCTGCGAGCTGATCAAGCTGGTTCCGGTCCTGACACCGAAGAATGACGATAACATCAACGGCGAGCACCTCCAGTGTTGCAAAGCAGCAAGATGGGTCGAGATGGAAGTATCGATGCAGACTTATGTAAGGCGGCGCTGGTAAAGGCTGGATGAAAGAAAGGGGCTGCTCGCAGGTGGGGAGATGGCAAGAACGATGAGGATGCTGATGCTGCGGCTGCAGTTTTGGATGCTGATGGCCTTCAATTCTCTGCTGCACCGTTGCTATGCTCCACGTCGATGTGGGTGGATGTGACACCCTCACTTCACTATATATATGTATATATACTCACATAACTTAATTAATAAACAAATAGATTCCATCTTCCTCTCTCTTCCCTGGTGATTGCCCATCCATCTAGAAGATATAACAATCAGACAGAAACAGATAGTCTGACCTTTGCATCCTCACACACCTGCTCCTCTCAACCTCCAATTTTGCAGAATAGGTACCAAATTTGTATTGTGACCTTTTTACTTCATTTGTCCATCATTCATGTATGGTGTCAAGGAGATAGATGTCAAGGAGCTGCATCAGCTTATGTGAGCATTTTACTAATGGGTAATCAATTGTTGGGAGTCTACAATATATTGGTAGAAGGGCAAGGCTAAGGATGTGGAATTTATAATAAAGAATAAAAATCACTTTTGAACAATTTGACAATGCTAAAGGTGTAGAGTTTTGATGCAAGGGGATATTTGGCTTTTCTATTCATCCATTGCCAAGTACCAATTAGATTCTTATTTTGTTATAGCCCTCAACTTCTAACTTAATACAATATAGTAATTTATCTGATCATTTGTCTTACATTCTACATCGTGGGTCATTTGGTACCATTTGCAAAACTTCACAAATGTATGTGAAATGCATTTTATATTAAGGAGAGAAGGTGAGAAGCCTTATCTTTTGAATATTTTAATTGGTTGAAATCAATAAAGTTTGCTTAAGTTGCTCTTACACCTAGAAAAATAAGTCTAAAGACCCTAAGAAGTAAATATGAGGTAGAATGCATTTTTTTGTACATGGTATGAATAGTGTTTCCAAGGTCCCAAATGGACCATTTAGACTCCTGTAAATCACAAATTTATGCATTCAACATCCTTTAAGAGTTACAAAACCTTCCCACCACTGCATGGCATGATAAAATGTTAGATCATACAACTTAAACTTGACCAATCTTCTTAAGATCCTTTAACTTAGTAACAGGTGTTCAAGGGATTTTTGTTCAAATTACATAGTTTGTTTGTATGCAAATTTGCATATATATATATATATATATAGTTTGTGAATGGAAGAAAGCATATTACCCCAAGTTCCACGAATTTTACAGAATCGTTTAGCTCTTTTTGTAATCAAAAGCATTTAAAATAATCCACATTCAATTGAAATATGCCTCATAATATGTAGCAAAATATATTTTAAAAAATGTTGTTTACAAATTAACATTCAAGAACATACTTTCTGAGGGTTTTTATTATTTTTATTTTTATTTTTAAAGTAATATCATTTTTGGTGGTTTCAAAATTAGAAAAATAATATAAATTTTAAAACAAAGTTATTTTATTTTTTTAAATCACTCTTTATTTTCAAATTTCAAGATTTGACTGAAACGATTTTAAAATTTTAAGTTTTTGAAACTTAAAAATTTATATATATATATATATATATATATATATCTATATATATATATATATATATATAATGTATAATTATTTATAAATAAAAATTGAGTTTTTTTGTTCAAGTCTTGAGCCTTAAATCACTCCCCATTGGTATGTTCTTTGAATATATTATTATGATTATTTTTTAAATTATTTTTAAATTCTTAATATTTGCAAGCATATTTCACACATGAACATTAAGCCGTTGAGTCTTTTGTATGGATCAATGGATTTAGGGATGTGGCACATGCTTGATCCAGAATCAATTATAGACTTGTATACAATAAGAAAAGTAATCAGATATTACAATTTATGGAACACCTTTTCAATTCAGGGTAATTTCTAAGCCATACCATCAATAGTCAAGAAAATTCCATAGTCATTTTCTGACTGGAAAATGTCACATTCTTTTTAGTAAAATAAAGCGGCTTGATTTCAATTTTTAAACTTGATAGTACACCTGAACTTGGTGTCACAAATGTGATGTCCAAACATTGCAACGTGCTAAAAGGCGTGGGCTTGAGTGTCAACATCTTGCCGACAATAGGAGAACAAATAAGGCATTGCTTGAAAGAGATCCACATCCGTTTCTAGAGAAGACTACAGCTCTTGTTTAACTGCTAGTGTTTTCTTTAGCTGTAGTTGGGTATTAAATACAAATTGACTAGGATGTAACAGCACAATGGCCAACTTCGATGACCACACACCAACAATCTCTCATCAAGGTACCACCCACTATCTACTTGCGTCTGCAGCAAAATTCAATAGAATGGCTACCAACTACGGGTCCACGAAGAGTTTAGCAGAGTAGAATCACTTTGGATTGAGTCAATCTAGTCAGAAAAAAGAACTAGTGACAATGACATTGATATTACTACAGAGTGCAAGACTATCACTTGAAACAGGATGGAGTGTATCATCGTTTTCTCCTCTGTAAATCACTAGACAGTCACATAGGCGAAAAACCACCACATACGCTACGTGGCAGTCTAGAAACCAGCATGAAAACCAAGCCTCAGCCTGATCCAAGAGATGAATTGGCAACAATTTGTCCTGTTGATGACTGGAGCATTTCAGAGCCACCAATTGAACAGTTTGTCGCTAAGTCAGCACTAGGACAAGGAAAAGGAGCATATAAAGAGCTATATCAATTTAGACGTTCCAAACGACAAGAGTCTTGCCAAAGTGTGACATTTTACATCAGAGACCGACTCGGTCCTCTTTTAGTACTGTCAGCTGCCAATATGCTGCATATAAAGTTCAAAGTTTCCTGCATTAGCCCTCAAAACAAAGAAAATCTCGTTTCTGTTCAATACTCATACACATTTACTGATCAACCAGTAAAGGATGTGCGCAAATCATCTCAAGAAGTTAAAGAAAGTTCCTTAAACCAGGAACACTGAGCCTCAATACACACTGTGTACACAGAATTATGGTAAGAAAACGAGTATTTCTACAACTAAGCCTTTGCACCTGAATACCTGATGCAATTCAACTACCTAACCATGACATGTAACTTATGATCAAACTAAAAAAATAGTCTTCTACACATGAACTGGACGAAACCCTTCAAGAGATCCTTCAAATACCCTATGTACTTGGAGTACAGCATCCATCATGCCTTCCAAAAGCTGAAGCAAAGGCAATTGCTACTTTTAAGAACATGTTCAATCATCACAAATTCCGGACTTCGCTACTTGCTAGTATGTGAAGCACTTACTTAAGGCATAAACCATGCGTTAATGGCTTCATCAAAATGCTTGGAGCTGGTTGGGATGCTTCCCTCCCGACATGTTGAAGAGCTGAGTTCAATCATCAAGCCCCAAAGACTTTCTTCATCAAATTCTGAAGATGAAAAAGAGAACGTTCAAGGGAAATAACCGTGTGTCTGATTCCATCGGTGGCCATTATCCACGGCAGCTTCGAAGGAAAATTCCACCACAGAAGAACGAAATGATGATGTACAATAAGACAATTATGAGACAAGTCAGAGTTGCCCTGCGAAAGCCATCCACTGCATTAGCCAGTGCACAACAACCGAATACATGAAAAGGAAACTCACAAGGAAAGTGTAACAACTATAGGGCCAAACCAGTTTGAATATGGGATTCCCATTGAACTGATAATTATTCACTAGAATGTTTTTCATAAGAAATCCAACCGGACATTATGTGAAGCATTAGATAGCCCAATCTCCTTCTTAAGCCCTATCCATATCCCTAAAACTTTTCTTCAGACCGGTTTCTACACGTGTGCTAAGAAACACAATTAGCTGATAGAAACACACTCCATCAAATGTGGTGCAACTCATGAACTGATACAAAACTTACAAAAGTTTGGCGTTTTTTATCCACATGGCTTGTCGCAGTCGACGTGACTGCTTCTTGAAGCGAAAGGTATTATCCTGAATAGTGGCTGTCTTGTCCACCAGCAATTCAATGCGATCACCTCTCTCCAACACCTTATCAATATTCTCCACCATGACAGCCCGAACCTGATTCAAAGATCATTAGTTCGAAAGGGCACGTCCAAAAAAAAGGTGAGACACTGGCTTCAGGAGAAACAGCAGAGTCCAAATAAACATAGTAGAACATGCCGAAAAGAATCGTCTCAAAGAATATTGCTGTAACAAGACTTACTTCCACAATTTCCCCCTTCACTCTGTTTATACTATCTGCCTGTTTATTAGTGGAAAAATACTCCATTTGTTGGTGCAAAACTCTGGAAAACTCGTCATTCATTGTGTACGCCAAGGCTGTGCTTGCCACTTTTCCGTAGTTTTTCATAAACCTCATGTGGATATCCTCAAGATATGCGAAAGGGATTCTTCCTGTCAGGAAAAATAAAATCATCGCTGAATCAATTTGATCTCATTATGTCACGTCATTTAGGGTTTGAACCTTTGGGAGCTGAACTAAGTGTCCAGAGCCCTGTAGTTGCAGGACGGGAGCTGCATATGCACGTGAGTGGATCAGGAAGGAGATAGTGCAACTGGGCCCCTAATCATCTCCCAAATGTTTCTCCTAGCAAATGGAGATAAATCTACACTGTTTCCTTCAGTCAGATCACGTGCAAGTGGCTGCCTCTTCCAGGATTATTGCAAGATGCGCGCAAGCGAAAAAGAAAGAAAGGAAAGATCTCTTACTTCCAAAAGAATCAGTAGCCATGCAAAGAAATGTCAGGCCATCAGCTTTCAAGATATGAAAAATGTGCCGGTCTTGCGAATAGGATACACGGCTATCTCCTCCAGGAGGCAGCTTTTCCAAGATTCGGCGGGCTATGGTGCTCGCATTTCCTGATGCGGCGCTGAATTCTGCCAGAACCACAGTCCCTCTCGCGACCAAGGCATACAGGATAGCCATGTTTGAAAATCTGCTACAAGCCAACACTGTACGCCTTAAATCTAAATTTCACGCAATCCAAATCCTCACAGTCAACTGAGCCAAAATATTTCAATCAATACCACTCAGATAATAAGCCTAAAAATTTGAATTCCACCGCTGTAACACACTGCTGGAGGGAAGAATACTGCAGGAATTATTAAAAATAAAAACTTGAAAAATAAAACTCCTAGTATAACTCACTTCGATAGGGTCGGAAATAAGAAAATCAGTAAAAAAAAAAGTAAAGAACTTCTGCTGCTTGCAACTCCGAGAGCCCTCTAACCCTGATGATGCATGCAGTCATAATTTTCGTTAGAGAACCGAACCACGCTTCAACTAATTCCGGCGGGTATTAGACGGTCCAAGCACTACTATGAAACACCATGATTACATACTCTACTCAACCATTAATCCCTAAAATCCCCACAAACAAAAACCAAGCAAAAAATTCCCCTCCTCGCAGCCCAGCAAACCAAAACTAAAACAAAAACTCGGTTCCAAAGCAAAAATCAATTCCACGCCCAACATCCGCAACTCGACTCTCGCCAGAAAAGAAAAAAAAGAAAACACAAAGAAGATTTTAACCTGAAATTTGAAGAAAATCAACACCGAAATTCCCACAAACAACCTAAAATTCACCTCGCAGGCAATCGTCCGCGAATCTCCAACAAAATCCGAGTAGGACCGACAATCAACACATCGGAAACTAATCGATGACTGGAAAAATGGCAGAACAAAGGTGTGAATCAACAACAGGATGTGAAATGGACAGAGACGCGTTAGGGTGCGTGAGATGACACCAGGAGCAGAGCGTGATCGTCCACGGCTCAGCAACAACAAACAAACACACAAACAAACAAACGAACAAAGCAAAGTGAGCAACAATGGTGATGGTGGAGAAAGACTGGACGGTGATAGGGGGGTTTCGTCATCACGGCTCCAATGCACGGCATGTGGATCCCCCCTCCTCCTTCCACCGTGTCCTTGCCCTTGCCCTTGCCCGTGCCCGTGTCATGCCGGATCCATGCAGCCCGGGTATATGGTGGGTTCCCTCTGCTACCTCCGGGTATGTACAACAACTGACAATGACACTATTGTGGATTTTTTTATTTTTTAAAATGGGTTAAAATTCAGGTATTTAAATGTATTTAAAAAATTAAAAATAAATAAATTTGAAAATATTATTTGCAACTAATTATTTTTAAGTTGAATAGAATCAAATATTCAAATATGTATAATCATATGTTATAACATTCTTAAATATACATGTGATAATAATATAAATTCTAATGTATTTTAGGATTTGTCATTTACTATTGGATTTTTATCAAGAATTTTTCTTAATTTACAATTCCACTTATAAGTTTGACTTCTGAAGACAAAGCTGAGTAGAACAAAGAAGCTAAAGGAACATTTGAAACTTTAAGGATAGTTTTTACTTTAGTACCAATTTTGTATTAAATTGACTTCTCCAAGCAATTCTTTATAAAAACAAATGCTTCAAATTTTGCCTTAAGTAAAGTGTTATCACAAACAATAGCAAATGACAAACTTCATCTTGACTTTTTATTCAAAAATATTTTAGCAATAAAGATTATCTATGAAATCTACAACAAAGAACTTATAAATTGTAGATTAATTTCAAGAATGGTGCCATGATTTAGAAGACACTTCTAATCTAGTAATTGTTTCTACAAATTACAAAAAATCAAATATTTATATTAACACATGTTTTGAATCATTGCCAAGCTTATATAATACAATGTTATATTGGAATACAACTATTGATTGAAAAAAATAATAATGATTATACTGTAAAAGAACTTGACTAATATATAATATCAACATATTTTAAAAATCATAGATAAAATTTAGAAAGGTAGTAAAAAAAAGTTATATTAATGGATCTTTTTTGTAAAAAAATCTTCTATTTATTTTGTAAAGCAAAAAAAAAAAAAAATAATAAAATAAAAAATAAAACAAAACAAAACAAAACAAAAAAACAACAAAAAAACAAACAAACAAAAAAGTTAGAAAAAATAATATCATTTACATCTTTATATAAAATTAAAGAGTAGCTCTTATTGGAAATGACCTAAAAAAATTTTGGATTAATACTTGGAAATGACTAATTATGAATTAGGATTAAATCTACACCATGAGGTACAAAATTTGTGCACCTACAAGAAATATTAGATTTTATTGTTGATAAGAGAGCAAACTTAAAGAACACATTTAATAAAATATCTTTAAGCATCAATTTGGAATGCTTAGAATGCATAATGATTTTATAAGAGATTTATAAAGTTGTAGTTTTTTTAGATGATTTTATTTTTATTAGAATAAAAAGAGATTATATTTTAGTGAATTCTATAAATTTTATAGCAAATCTAAACTTTAGAATTTATAAATTGTATTTTAAAAATCAATGAGAGTTTTTATAATTTTTAATTAAATAAAAATATATTTTTATGAATTCATAATTGAATTAGTTTTTAACATTTAATAAAAAATAGATTAAATAAATGGTACAAAAAAGAATTATTAATATTAGATGATAGACATCAAGGTTGAAGTAGTAAGAGAATTGATACTCTAGTCAAGAGTTATCAAAGCTAAAATAAGCTAAAACATGATAAAATATTTATAAGTTTTTTTAAAAGATTGTTTAATTGTACTTAGCCTAATTAGAAGTTTACATAGATTATTTAAGTTTGCCAAAGACTTATTTTTAAATATCTTATTTATTATTTTTGGATCTCAAATCCAAATTTAAGATAAGATCAAATCTTTCTACAACCAAATGCTAAGTGCATTTCCATACTGTTTTTCATACAATACAACAACAATATATTCTTCTATTCAACAATCATTTTTTTGTGCTAACTATGGCCATCATCCAATATTTAATTATTTTGAATTTTCAAAATTAAATAATCATGTAGCAAAAGATTTAAAAAATTAATTATTAGAGCTACATATAATAATAAAGGTATAATTAAAAGAAGATTAAGAATGACAAATCATCCATTCATAAAGATTCATTTTATTTTTATGTGTTTCTTCTTAAGCCATAGAAAACATTGGCTATATTGAGAAAAAAAATATTTCCTATTTATTTCTATAAAAGTGGACAATAATCAAAAGTTTAAAATAGAAGAGATCTTAAAGCCAAAGCTATATTAAAATAAATTAGGATAAATTTTATATTAGTGTAGATATGATATTAATAAATGCACATAGAAGTTATTTAGAATTTTTTTAAATATATGAGAAAAGATTGGTGTTTTTATTAATATTTTTTGCTATAAAATAGAAGAGGTTCAATGAAGAATTTGTTTTTATCTTTTTTTGTGTTTTTTTTGTACTTATAATAGAGAATCAACAATTAGAAAATTAAATGCAAAATTTATCATTTATTAAGTTATCAAACAAGTTATTGAAATTCTTACAGCCTTTAAGATAACTTAATAGAAATAAAGATCTTCAATAACAACATGTTCTTTCTGGGATAGATGGCAAGAAAAATAAGTTTGATATTATAATTGTAGAAGAAAATTTTAATATTTGGTGATATTATTACATATATAAATTATTTCTATTTGCATTCTTAATGTTTTATTTGGAAGTAGTTATAAAGACCTTTACAATAACCAAATAATAAGGTGATCTTTACATGCGAGTATAGAACATTATCAATGGTTGAAAGAACCTATCAAGTATCTTCAAAAAGAATAAAGATCAAAGTATATATTAAATATGATTTGCCATATCTTAAACTTCTTCAACATGAGAACAATGCTCTTTGTAGAACTTATTCTTTAAAGGTGGAATAATGTGACAAACATCAATATTGACATTGGTATTTAGGAAGATAAGAGAAGTTTAATAAAATTATATAAAAGTAGCTTAATTTGATAATATCTTAGTGAAAAGCTTTTTAGAAATTCTACAAACATAGAATTGACTTTACAAGTATTCATAGGTAATTGATAGGTTGAAAACTTGGCCAACAAATTAGCCACATATTGCACATGTTGTCCACTTGTTTTACAAATTGGCCACATGTTGGCTACATAGCACACATGTTCAAAACTTATCTTAAACATATGAGCAAGTTGAACATGTCTCAAATGATCTATAAAATATTGTCATATAATTTATATAATTTTTTTAATTAGATAATACATATGGAAGCAAAATTAAGGCTTTCTTCACTCTTATCAATGTCTTTCTTATTTCCAATCTAGTTTCAATTAATGATTTTAAAATATCAAATTAAAATCAAATAATGAAAGATTCAAAACAAAACAGTGGTCTCATTGGTGAGCCTTCTCAGCTTAGTTCACTGAAAAATGAGCCACTCTAGCTGCTACCGCTCACTCGTCTTCAATTCTCAATAGAAGGTGAAAGGCTCGTTTAGTTTCGTCCAAGTTTTCAAGCACCGCAACTCATATCTGGGAAGCAACATTATGAGCCTATTCGCTCTTCTTCCCACATGCCAGAAACTGATCTACTAATGTCAAGTACAAAGGCCACACTGTGAACGGTTTTCACGTAGACATCAAATACAATCTATGATACGTGAGTATTTAACAGCTCACTCTGTTTGATCTGCAGAATCCACCTATTAAAATGATATGTGAGTTTTCAATCAAAAACAATAAGAATAATAATAATAATAATAATAAACACATGCCACTTAAGATTTTCTACAAAAGGATCAACAGGAGTGATGAAAACTTTTGCCATACCGTCTGGTGGAGCCTCGATTTTATGATAATATCGATTGTATACCGTCTGATTGGACAGTATCATCCTGATCCATAACATGTTTGTCCAAATCCTCGATGCTTCAAGCACAGAAGCACCATGCACTGGAAAAGTTAGTCCCACGGTGGGTTAACTTTGGCGCTATATTTCACACTCTGCAACGATCAAGCACAAGAGATATTATTCCGAAAAAATGTCCATCACTAGGTCACGTTTTCGGAGATTGCGAAGTTAGAAGGCAAAAGACATTCGCACTGTAAGGTGATCGATTCGTCACGATGACCAGGTCGAAGCCTTATCCCAACTCCTACCAATGAGAATCCCTACACACACACCACAAAAATTTATCAGCTCCCATTTAAGTAAGATTGCAGCCCGACGTGCCGCTCATTTACACCTACACAACGGTTTCCAGACATTGAAAGATCTTGAACGTTGAAGGGAAGTTGGTTTATCTATCTGTGGATACGCACATAACATTAAAGTAACTAAAGAAATGAACGATGTGATACTGTCACAATGCCAAGTAGAAGCAATATTTTTCACACAAGTAAAGCATGCAAATGAGGTGCATCACAAGCTCATTTTCATTCTAAACTTACTCGATTAAGTGCATAAAAACCTGATACTAGGACATACAATCGATATAATCATAAAATTATCACAATGGAAAATAATGACAGTCGTCCCAATAATGCTTTTACATGTGATCATTCAAGCCCAAACCTAAAATCTACATTGTAATTCGAAACACATAGTTGCAAGCCTGATAAAATTTTCAAAAAAGTACATGCTACCTACGAAACTCGTGGCGTCTACAACCTATCACACAATCTATAGAGACTTAGATTCCACACCACCATACAACTCACGAATTCCACGAATTAATTTGAGTCATTACGGAACAAAGCCATTCAAAGATCATTAATCCCACGGATCAGCTAACCCTTTCCTAAACTTTGCATAATCCTCAGTAGAGGGTTGATAAACAAGGTAAATACCAGCACAATTGGTGCTAAACTATTACATTTTAAACCTTGACAAGCAGGAGCATTCCCATTTCAGGATAAAAGATTACCTTCAAGAAGCATATCAGATTTAACAGCACAGCGGAAAGAGAAACACTACTGCTGAACCCCAGAAATCTCCTGCTCCCCAAATTGAGTTTCAACTCCACTTTCACGAACAATAGAGGAACCACTCAGCTCTATGAACATTCCACCACAACGACACAACGACTGAAAGTTCGAATTCGTGAAGAATTGGACAGTGCAAAAAGAAAAACCTCAGCGTAGAAATGAAGCCTACTCTACCCAACCTGAGGCCACGAAGGAAATCCGCAATCGTCAATATCCCAATAGGGTCTGCACCAAGATCGTCCGTTGAAAGGACCACCCTCACCCCCCGCTCAGGTGCAATCTCTCACCCAAATGGACATATCAACAATCAATCAAGTTTTGCTATTCGACACCAAATCTGCGCTGAAATCAACTTCTACAATGCATGCAAATTTGTAAACTCACCTCGCAATCAACGCACAGTTTAGGGGGAAAACACCCAACAACTTCGGTTGCATCTGAAAACTCAGAGATCTTATCCCCCACGACACAACATGGTTTGTGATTTGACTTCCAGCGATTAGTGATCAGCCGGATCACGCACAGAGCGGCATCCGCGGCACAATCTTGTCACAAATGCCCGAAAGCGGACATGAAAAAGAAAGGAAAGGAAAAGGTTTGCTCTTTATTAGTCACAGGACGGCAAGTCCTCGCGACCATTGGTGGTCGCAAGGTCACCTCCCATCACCACCATCGCAAGTGAACAGTGCAGTTATTCTCTTGTAATTTGGTGATTTCCCTCAACCTTTTCGGTACCTCGAGAGCCGCTCCTCCACAACGAGCTCGACGATTTACACAGTAAGCTCACGGCTATCATGCGCAGAAAATTTCATGAGTGGGTCTGTGACTTGCCGATCAATTCAACTGAACCTAACCAAGAGTTGGGACCCAAATTGCTTATTTTTCCCTCCCAACTGGAGTCTTACGTGAGCGTGAATAATGTGAAATTCACAGTCAGGCTTGTGCATTACTGGCTGCATTTCATTGGACAAGATTTGTTCCGATCCGCATCAATTTGCTGCAGTGCGCCCGGATGAGCTTCATCTTGCAACAAATGTCACCTTCCTAGAGCTGACACTAGTCATGTCCTTGGAGCTTGGCGGAGCACAGCTCAGGATAGGTTCAGATCATGGTGGTCCTCCATTTTTCGTTCACCAGGCGCTTGGCGCGGAAGATGGCGCTTCACGGCCTTCCATACCGTGCCTGAAATTTATCCAATGCTTATCTCCTCAACGGCAAGCAATGTCTTGGTATATACTGTTGGGTTTCAAAGCTTCTCCAGTAAGAAGCGGGCATGTGTAAAGGCTGTTTTTCGTCACCATGGTGACTTGGGATGGAAACCTAAAATGATAAACTTGTGAGTGGTTCCCGAAGCATCAGAATAGGTCCACATCATGCAGATTCCTCCTACTTCCGACTTAACCGTGTGATCGTGGACATCGTTCCTTTAGCATACGCTGGTCCGGTCAAAAGGAGACTAGCATTAATTTTAGTTGGGACGTTACAACCTTGATCTCTCTGTGCGAGATATGCAAACTGGATCAGGAACTAAATCTTTGCATCGACTGCGGACAGAGCGTGGACTGAGAAGCAGAAGTAGTGGCTTGCAATATGCGTGGCCTCAGCTGCTGTTGAGATTGTTTAGTGTGATATTTTAACAAGCAGATCCTTGAAAAGTTCCCATATATCTTCATTTTTGTCTTCCTCTGAACGCTCATGTATGAACGTTTTCCCTTACTGATCATCTGTCCTGTCACGACAACCTCCCGTGCTCAAAGCTCACATGCATGCTATCCTGAAAAACTGAACTATCGACAGGGTGTTGCAAGGCATTTTGCAACTGTTGTTGAGTTTGAGTACCTGCAGTTGATTCACATCCCGTTTCTACGCCCATTTAAGATGTGATCCCGGACCTTGTGTGGCAGCCAATAGCGTAGATGCGCAACTTTGTGACATGTAAAAACGTAAAAGGTCTCTTAATCATTGATTACAACTGAAGCTGGATACAGACAGACAAAACAATCACAGATTCAAAGCAGAAAACTATTCAAGTAGTGAGCTGTACTCAAGCGCAAATACCTGCACATCATGTGCATGGACAGAATTGTTTTCTGGAAGAACAAAAAAAAATTGCAATGACAACCAACGACACAAATCATGACCACGAAAAGCCGTCTGAACCACCAATTAATAAGTCAGCTCACAGACATGGTCGCAGATAAAAGGAGCCTTCCATTGAAAGAAAAGAAAAACATCAGAGAGCTTTCCAGAAATATGAACAGTAGTAGCACAGAACATGTGATAAATAACCCTAATCGAGAAAAACGCAAACTCTCGAGTGCGTAGAAGCCTCTACTCAAATATGATAGTCATTGCAAGCCCACATCTGAGGCGCAAGGATCACAAACAGAAAATATGTCCTCAACTTTGTTTTGACGTCAGCCTGCCCAGATTACACTCCTATAACTGCACTACAAATCAATCTTACACGGCACGATGGTACAGTAGTCTTCTCATCGGACTCATTCACACTCAAAAACTTTAAACGCCTAATCTAATCTACGGTGCCGCTGGTTTCTCGTTGGAGTTCAGCAAATGTTTCTGCTCAGAGACTTGAGCAAGTGCTTTCAAATTGCATCTCACGACTGTGTCCACAAATGTATGCGTCTCCTCTCTTGTGTTACCATCTGGAATATCCACAACATAAGACTCCAGCACTAGAGTTCCCATCTGCCCTTGAATCTCATGTCTGTGCAAAGAAGTCACAGACCAATAATTTTGCAACCTATGGCCTCCTCCCAAGACCCTGAAGCTGATGATATGCTCCTCATCGTCCAGAATTTCCAGCCTCTCGATGCTAGATGTGGCGGGAATGCTAGAAACTAATTGCACCTCCCGGATGCTCCCCACTACGCCATCGCCTTCAACGATGTCACACCTCTGAATGAACCGCTTGTACACCTGCGGCTCGTCAAACCTCCTCACAATCAACCACACGGTCTGCACAGGCGCCTTGATCTGCTGCAACAAGATGGAGCCGCACTGGTGCGGAAGCAACTCGTGCTTGTGGAACCGGCATATCAGATCCTGCTGCCCTTCCAACAGGAACTGGAAATCCGGCCGCCCCTGTTTCTCCTGCATCATCGTCCCTATTCAGGAGCTCACGGCACAGACCAAGCGCGACTCCGCTCTCCGCAACTCACACCCTGAAACCAACCACTTCAACTCCACGGCGCAGTGATCTCCTAAACTACAAGCCTTTCCCTAAAAGTGTCGGATAGCGATCGAATCTTCCGCACATTCATCCTCAAACCAAGCAACAAACAACACTTCGCATTAGACACGCAACAACGCCAACTATAAGCACCTAAAGCTTGCGAAAAGAGGCTCAGGCAGAAGAGACAGAGGCAGTGAGCGATGGTGTGGAGGAGAAGTGCGGCTGCAAATCGAAGTGGAAATTCTCACTGCGCCACTCACCATCGCCATCGCCATCTCCCCCCTTTGCAAACCTACACCTCCCTTCCTCCGTCCGCGTTCTTCGCCCGCCCCCCCGTCTGTTCGTTCGTCCCCCCGCCCACCCCTCCGTCGATCCGGCCGTTTCATCGTGCGTTGATGCACGAAAGTGCGGAGACGAGGTCGCCGCGACGAATTCCGTTCTGTGGCTTACGCATCGCCTTCAACATCCAGCCCATGTTGGTGACCGGCTACAGCCCGTTTAGATTCGTCCGTCCGGAAAGGGCCAAAGGTGGGCTTCGTCGTCACCCTCCTTTTAAAATATATAACCACGTCGACTAATCCACATCCAGGCAAAGATCTTGTGTATCCTCACTGGGGCCTTAAACCATCGCTGGTGTGAACATGGCTATTATTAGTCAAGTTATGTGCCTACACTTCCCCCTGCCAGATCTAAAGCGTTTCGACCTTTGTGCACCAAACATTATGCATTATTTACGTAATAGTAATAAAAATAATATGTATGTACGTAAGTAGTTTTCATGTTCATTTTATTTTTTATACAATCAAATGTATAATTTTGATTTTTTGGTGATGCTTTCTATAGGTGCACATTGTTTTCGTCCAATGGGAGAATGTTCAAACTTGTGATTTCAACAAAGTGACAGTAGCCAAGTCAAATTTACAAGTTTTCAAAATAACTGAGGTGCGATCTTTTATATAAAGTATATCAACTATAATGAAATATATTTTTCACTTTTTTATATTTTTCAAATAGTTTAAATGTTTTATTGAGATTTTCTTTTTTCAATCAATGTTGTTTCTACAAGTGTACATATTATATATGGTTTTGACTTTTCAATCATTTAAAATTCAAGAGAAATAAAGTCAACAACTTTTCGATCTTATGAGATAAATTTTTAAAACTTAATTAATAAAAAATATATATTAATATTATTTAAACATATTTTAGTGAAACTATTAAATATTAGCCACACATAAAAATACAAATCTTTACCAAATCATAGCTAACAGAAAATTAAATTCTGTGTTCTCTAAGAAATATTAGTTTCTATAAAAATAAAAATATAAAACTAATTATATGGCTTTTTGTATACATAACATATATTTTTAATGATATTAAGTTGTTGGTAGATTTGAATAATTAGTAGTAATACTTTTATTCAATACAATGATAAAATTTTAATATGTGCAATTTAAAGATATAGTTAAGCAAGAATGTAGCTGGATTTAACAGCATCATATTTAATAGGATAAAATATTGATAAATATATCATATCTTATTAATCTAATTAAAAAAGAGACAACTTAAAAATTTCATACAATGGATTCTGTCTCAGCCTAAAGTTACAGTTCCATTATATTATCATGGTAACACAAGAATACATGCAAAAACAACAAAACAAATATAAAGCATATTTATAACACATTCTAGAATATTATATATATATATATATATATATCTCGAAAAACTCACATGTTTTTTACAAAATAATAATAAAAGAAAAACAAAAACAAAATAAGTATGAGTATAAATAATAAAAGTATTTCTTTTGAATTTGTAGATAAAACTTGTAGAAAATAATTTTTAGAAGCAAAAAATAAAAAGAAAATTATTTTATTTTATTATATTTATTGTCTTACTTTTCTTTAAATTATATTATCTTATAAACAACTTCTAATCATTTTTTTTTTTTTTTTTATAAATAAGAGATATTTGATATAAATAATGGATATTTTTTCTATGCATCATATTTATAATGTAAAATTTATATATTTGAAATTTAAAATATTCAAATGTATAATATATAAAATGTATTTTGTTACATTATTTTTGAATATTATACATTTTTCTAAGAATCAAACTTAAACATTTACTACACAAATATTTGAAATATTTTTAAATATGCAATATAAGACTTATATTTTTATAATACAAGATTCATAATACAATATAATATTTAAAAATTTAAAATATGGATATTTAAAATATTTGAAGGAAGTTAATGTACATTAATTAAGAATATTTTAAATGTACGATTTTTTTTAAAAAATAAATAAATATATATATCTTAAATATAATTTTTAATATTTTGAAATAATAAAATTAAAAAAATTCAAATAGTTCTATATACACTAAAAATCCCATACAAACATCATAAATATGTTTTTCTTATTTGATGTAAGCTCAAAAAAGTTGGATATTATGAAAAGTTAGAAAAAATAATTTTTTCATCATTGTAAGTAGATTTTATAAACTATATAATTTTTGATGCAAAATATGATAAATAAATTTAATAAAATATAGATTTTTATGGATTTATTGGTTTCTACACTCATACCTCTGTTCAAATACATACTTATATAGCTACTCTTCATCTATAAGTTGCATATAACTATGATTTTGAATAAAGCCTTGAGGTGAACAAAAGTCTTAAGAAATTAAAAAAATATAGATTTTTAGTGAAATAAATTATGTAGTTAGCAAACTATAAAAATATTAAACATGTTCTTTATATCTTTAAATAACTAATTGTAAGATCTTCAAAAATCAGTTTGTGGACAATGTTGACTCTTTTTAGAATAGCAATGCTTTCAAAAAATATTATATTATAGTTATATTTATATATTCATATAAATTAAATATTTTATATTTATTTATTTTTTAAATAAATAACTAAATAATTCATTTTTATATATTTTTTAATTTTTTCTATATAAAAACTTAGAATATGAAAAACTCTAATACTTATAACAATCAAATTATTAACTTGGCACCAAAACAATAAAAAATAGTATAAAACTAAAAAATATTACTTTTTTCAAGAGTAAACAATCTTATTTGAGTAGATTAATGATTTATTAAAAATATCACTTCTAATTAAAAATTATAAAATATTTAATTCAAATATTTTTAAGAAAAATAATAAATGATATATATAAATTAATTATATACAATAATAAAATATATCATATAATAAAAATAATTCATATTAAAATGTTTTTATATTGATATTATCTAAATATTGATACTAAATCGATTTTTTTTTTTTTTTCCTTTTTCTTTTTTAATCTTTTCAACTCAGCAACAAATCCGATATTATTCTTTAAGATTATTAGTGCCTTAGAATATAGAATAATTTCAAGAAATTCTTTTATTTAGTATAACAAATACACTAATATAAAAAATAATTTAACAACATCCTTGTCGAATCTTGCAAGCACTTCTATATCCAAAATAAAAATTGGTCTGGTATTTCTAAAGTTTTTTTGTCCAAATCTTATATTTTAAAATTTTCATAATACTATTTTTTATTTGATGGATTAGGTTATTAAAAAACATCTTTACTTTTAGATAGTAATAAATAAATCAAAATTTATACGGATGGGATAATTATATAAATATCATTAGATCATATAAAATTAAAATTTTCAATTTATTTATTTTATATAATTTTATAATTTTAGTTTCAAGTTTTAAAGATAGATAAAAAAAAATACAGTCAAATTTGTGTCTATATATATATATATATATATATATATATATATTCTTGATCTTTTTTGTTATTTCTACACAAGATATTTTTAAATATTGAGTGTCTTTAGCTATTTTTAAAATTTATATAAATATATATAAATTAAAATGTATATTTTATTTTATTACTTTTATTTTATATCAAATTTACTCTTATATTTTTAAAGTTTTTTAAAAATACATATAATAAATTAAACATCAAAGCTACAAATAATTATTTGGATTGATTTAGAATAAACTAAAAATTCTATACAAAAACTCCAACTAATATTTATAAAAATATTTATAGATATTTATATTTATATTAATTTATAATAAAATAGATAAGATTAATTTTCTATTTTTACATAAATCAATCATAAAGTCCATTATCTATAATTAGTAGTATTTTTGAATTAGTTTCTAGTATGTTATTTATACGAATTATAAAGAATTTTAATTTGAAGATATAACTAATTAAGAAATAACCCATAGAAAATTAGAATAGTTAATATATATGATATATATATAATAAATATATATATATATATATATATATATATATTTATCATTACTAAAGTAATATAATACTTAAAAACTTAATTTCTTAATAGTTTGATAAAGATACAAAGAATTAATTAAAGGCATTTGTCTAAATTAATTGTTAATTATAATCAATATGAACAGATTTTATGTAATTTTCTAAAAATTATTAGATAAAATAAAAGGGTCACTTTCAAAATTCATATAAGCATTAAATAAATTTTCAGCCACATCTAGGAATACTGCGTATTTAATTTTTTTTAATCAAATTAATTGTATTTGTTTTGGCAGTTTAATTGGTAGTGATATGATTTTAGAGGTGGCTCTAATGTCATATTTAAATTTATTTTAGTAGTAATTATTATATTGAACAAATATCAAATTTACAAGTAATTATTGAATTTTGGCATTCATCACAATTAGTGACAGTATTAGAACTATAATTTTTTTATAACAAAGATTTTTTATCCTTCATTTTAATTTTGATGGATGTCATTAATAAAAAATATCAACTTTCTTTGTTATATTTTCAAGATTCTTGGCTAGCTTCTATATATTTACTAATATTATATCTATGTCAATAAATAAGATATTTTAACTTATTTTAGTGCCATCTTAAGTCTAAGACTTCTTCGTTTTCAAACTCGTTATTGTTATCTACTTCAATAGGAAGAAATGACACTTGTATTTTTTTCTTATATATTTATTGTCTTATATAGGTCAAGAAGAGATACATGGAACAATAGATGGATCTTTAATGTCTACAATAGATATAATCAATAAGTAGCTAGATTGATTTTTTTAAAAATAAAAAAAATCTAAGCCTATAATAATCCAACTTATTACAAAGACAAATAGTCTTGATATTATGACAAAGCAACCATACCTTATCATCCATATTAAATTGTAGTTGTTTCTTGCAATAGGCATTTGTATTGATCTTTTGTCATTCTTAAGCTTTCTTTAATTGCACCTTAATAGTTGCATATAAAT